AAAGTGCTGTTAATACATTTTTGAACTTTGTCTACGTGTTTATACCATTGGTCGGGGTTATTAATAGATAGCTTAGTTAATACCGGAATAATAGTGCGTATTGTACGTTCTGCTTGCCCGTTCCCTCGCGGTACGCCTGTCGTGATATGTATGTTTTTTATACCCTCTTCCTCGCAATATTGTTTAAATTCTGTGGACGTAAACGCGGCTCCTCTGTCAGAAATTATATGGTCTGGGTACCCGAAAATTTTTTGTTGGCTATTTAACCTGTCGATTACTTCTTTGGCGTTAACTGTTTTCGTCGGATATAGCCATGTGAATTTTGAAAATCCGTCTACGACTATAAAAATCTAACGGTACGCTTTGCTCGTCGCTGTCATTGGTCCTACGTGGTCGATGTGATATGTTTCAAGCGGTTTTGACCCTTTCGCGATCGATGTTAGTTCACCTTCCTTTTTTCCTGTCTTTCTTTCGGCTACTATACATTGTATACAGCAACTAATGAATTTCTTTATTTTTTCTTCTAACGCCGGTATGTAATATTCTGTCTCGATAATTTCTTCCATTTTACGTCCGCTGAAATGACCCCTTTCATGCGCGTTTCTTATTATTTCTAAATGCATGCACGACGGTACGACAATCAAATCTTTACTATCTTTACGTTTCATTAAAATATCGTTTTGCACAAAATAATTCCCATATTCTTCGGTTTCTAGGATACGCTTGATTATTCGCAATCTCTCTTCTTCGCTTTGCTTTTTCCTAATTATCGCTAACATCGTGTTTTCTATAACTAAGACCGAAAATCTACTTAGCGCGTCTACGTGTTTAACTCGCGTGCCTTTTCTATGTTCGACGGTATATTCAAATTCTTCTAGGGTCAACGCCCATCGTGCTACTTTAGGAGAAAGATCTTTTTTTGATAATGTTTTCTTAAACGCTTCGCAATCTGTAACTAGTTTAAATGGTACGCCTAACAAATAAACACGGAATTTCCTTATTGCATTTACTACGGCTAACACTTCTAAGTGGTACGAGTGGTATTTTCGCTCGGCGTTAGTGGTTTGCTTACTGTAGTAATACACGGGGTTTAACGCGTTTTCTTTCGCTGTCTTTTGGAATAAGATCGCGCCGAAACCTTCTTGACTCGCGTCAGTATGTAACTCCGTCTCTGCATTCGAATCGTAAATCTGTAACACGGGTTTTGCTGATAAAATTGACTTTAATGTTAGAAATGCTTTTCTTTGTCCTTCTTCCCAAATGAATTTTTGACTTTCTCTCGTTAACTTAAATAAAGGTGAGGCAATTTTTGCGTAATCTTTAATGAATTTTCTAAAGTAACCGGTTAGGCCTAAAAAACTTTGTATTTGTTTCCTATTTTTCGGTTCGCGATATTTTTGAACTGCCTTGGTTTTCGCGTTACCTGGATACACATTTCCGTTTTCAATTACGTGGCCTAAATATTCTATTCTCGAGCGAAGGAATTGACATTTACTCCAGCTGATCGTTAACCCGTTTTCGGCTGCTGTCTTTAGCGTTTCAACTAATCTCTCGTACGCGTCTTCGTCGTTCGATCCCGGTATGATTATATCGTCGACATAAACGAAAACCACTTTACGTCGGATGAGGTCTTGAAAAACTATGTTAATGAATCGTAAAAAACTTGTGGCACTAACTGAAAGTCCGAAAGGCGTTTTTAAAAATTCGTATTGTGCGTCTGGCGTTACAAACGCGGTGTATTTGATACGTTCTTTCGCGACTGGTACGTGCAAATAACCGTTCTTTAAATCAATCACCGAGAATACGCGTGCGTCTTTTAATTCGTCTATTTTCTCTTCGACGAGGGGCGTTGGGAAGTGGTCCCGTTTTATTTTCTTATTTAGTTCCCGATAGTCAATGCATACTCTATAGAAGCCGTTTTTCTTTGGAACAATAACTACTGGACTCGCATACTCACTTTTACTTGGACGAATAACCCCTTCCTTAAGCCACTCGTCGATTTGTTTATCTAACACGCTTTTTTCTTTTGGCGCTAGTCGCCGCGGTCTTATGTTAACTGGGTCGCTACTGTTTAATGCAATTGTTGTTTCTACCTGTATATCGCTCTTCTCTGCCGGTCGATACTCACTGATTAACTTTTTGATTCTGTCTTTGTACTGTCCTTTAACGTCTAATTCGTTTTTTTCAATGTACATTACGTTTTTTAACTCTTCGAACGCTGCGTCCACCGTTTCCTGAGTGTTCTCCGCTTCCGTCTGCATGTCTTCGCTCTCGTCCTTGGAAACCGTGAGCGGTGTCTCCTCTGCAGTTCTCGGGACCCTATGGATGGCGATTATGTTGCCTTTGCTCACTTGCATCTCGACACCTTCCAAAAAGTCTTGTCCCAAGATTATGTCGTGTGGGATTGTGTGTGACGGCACTACGAAAAATTTGACACTGTATGTCTCGTCATTTACACGTATCATTGCACTGAAAGTTCCGATTACTTTCGTCGTCCCGTTGCCGGCGCCGGTAATGTTCGTCATCGTCGCCGACAAAGGAGGACCGTCGATTTCCTCGTAACGATTTTTCCGCATTAACGAAATGTCACTTCCGGAGTCAATTAACGCGTAACTTTTCACATGGTTCACTTCAATTGGGAACGTTGTTTTCGCACTCACGACACAATTTACACTTGCAGTCTTACTGTTTTTTTCATTTCTTACACTATTACACTTACTTGCTATATGTCCGAAATTATTACAATTAAAACACTTGGGTCCTTTTCCCTTATCAGGGCAGTCTTTCGCGTCGTGCTCCGGCGAGCCGCATGTATTACAGCGGGGGGTCTTCGGTTTGCGTGTAACGTCCTTTTTTGTTTTTGTTTCTTCCCTTCTGCCACTCGATCCTTTCGTCTTTTCTTTCATCCTGTCGTATATTTCCAGGTTTTCCCTCAGCTCCCGTAATGTGCGCGATTGGTATAGGATCGCTTTGTTGCATTCATAGTCTTCTATGCCGTTTATGACGTATTCGATGAGGGCCTTATCCTCGACGTCGCCCTCGCTGGCTATCACGCGCATCGCGTAAACATATTGTCGTGCGCTTTCGTGGGGTAACCTTTTTTAACCGACTTCGAAAAAGGAGGAGGTTACTCAATTCGATCAGCGTCGGAACAAACGAGAGTGTACCAGGGCGCTGTTCACTTCGACGCTAAATTCACGTTTTAACGTTTTTCGCAGTTCTTTCCATGACGTCACACTTTTTTCCGTTGCTATGAATTGATTCGCGGATCCCCGTAACATGCGCTTCGCGTAAATTAATTTTTGCAGGTCGTTCCACTGCAACAATATGCTCAAATCTTCAAAATCTGTAATCCATTTTTTTATCGATATTTTAACGTCACCTGAGAAATGAGGTATCGAGTCTTCGACATCTTTGATTGTGAATAAACTGGAACGTTCGATGGACGTTCTTCTTTTTCGACCGTTCTTTTTCGCTTTCTTCTTTGTCTCTCGTTCGTCTTCTTCGTCTTCTGTCTCGCTCGATATAGAACCTCGAGTCTCCTCCTCTTCGTCTTCCGTTTCGTCTTCTGTCTCGTCTTCCGTTTCATCTTGATCGGGATTTTCGTTCTGTTTCACGTAATCAATTAGTCTTTCTCTTAGTTCTGCTTTCTTTCCCGTTTTACTTAAATTGAGCTCCTCTAGTTTCGTACGCTGTTCCTGTATCTTCATTTTCGGTATTTCTTCCATCTTTGGTGGTTTCGTTTTCTTTCTCTCCTCAGCGGCGATAATCGTTCTATCCAAGTCGTTCATCTTGTCTTCCATCATCGTGCGATTTCCCGCAGAGTCGTTTCCGTTTTCCTCTTTATTCATTCTTTCACTTTCACTTATATCACTTCTTGTTTCCGTTAACTTCACGTTTCCGATTGTCCGTTCAATTCGCGAACTAACACTGACTTCTTTCACGTTTTCTTTCACTTAATCGTCGTATCGTTGCGCGGCCCGAACGTAATCGTTACTTTTATCTTTCGCGTTTTCACGTTTTCGACGATCTCTCAGATCCTGGCTCGAGCCCACAAATGTAGGAATGGATCGGAGGGACGGTCAAATTAAGATGGCTCACTTTTAACAAGAAATGAATTTAATATAACGAATATGAATATTGAGGACAATAAATCTGATAGCTCTTTACAGGAACGCGTCCGAAACAGGTCTGTTCTTGTCGTAGATTGCCTTCTTGGCCATGCACACTCTTTTGTTAATTTCACGCGTTCTTGTACACACGCACACATACTCACTCGCAGTCGTTCGTACTCTCTCTCTCTCACACACTTCCACGTATACTCTCTTTCGCTCTCTCACTCGCACGTTCATTCATGTCGCGTTCCCTCATATATATATTGCGTTTCTGATATAATTAGTTATAAGACATAGTCCCGCATGCGTTATAAATAATATAGCATAAGTTTCACATTCCTTTACTCCTAGGTCCTCAAGTTCACCCTTTATCTTAACCTAAACATCCTGCTATGTACATTCCTATCTAATTCCGCGAACCTTTATGTACATACACACACATCAAACACAGAAATGCAATCTCACACTCTCATTCACACAGATAATAAAGAAATATTAATATAGAAATATGAGAATATAGAAAATTTAACAATAAAATAATTGTCAAGTCATTAAACTAAACTGCCTTATGCAGAAAATCAAGAAACTTAAAATCTAGGATTATGCAGGTTACCCAATATTTTAACATTCATTATGCAAACTATTAACTACAGTAAATTCTAAACCGAAATTCTAAACAAGAAATCAAATTGAACTTATTAAACCTAACGCGTAATACGGCTGTATTTACTAGCATCTTTAATATTATATTTTGAACCAAAATTGTTATAAACCTGTTTTTTATAATACAATTTAAATAATGAAAATTGATCGCTGGAAGCCTTGAAGACACCACCACACACATTACATTCTAACAATTTTAACTTATAGTTGACTAATTTGCACTTTCTGGGTGTTCTCCCTAGTATAGCAGGATGACCACGAAAGCACTTATTTATATAATTGTAGCTTACAGAATAAACCTTATTAGATCTAGGGTACCTCAAATGTCTTTTCATAAGTTCTTTCATTGTTATAGACTGTCTTACAGGTCTCCTCTTAGGTGGACCTTGCATGTCAATAGTAATGTCCAAGTCTGATTGCTCAAAGTCCGAAGCTTCAGTTTTGCTAAAATCAGTATCATCAGAGAATTCAGACTCATGGTCAGATGCAGAAAAATATTCTAATTGTGATGTCTCTGATGTTACTGCTTTTGGCAAAGTGATGATGTCTTGGCTTGCACTTCATTGGCTACTACCAGGC